GAGAGAGAGAGAGAGAGAGAGAGAGAGAGAGGGAGGGAGGGAGAGGTAGAAAGGTACGCTTTCTAGCGAGTATAAATTTACTAGAAATTCTGCAGTTTTGACTTTTCTATTTTTTTACGGAGCATGCAATTAATTTAGGAAGTCCATTCGTTTGTCACCTGGTAAAGGCGCAGTCGGTAACAGTTTCGGGTCCTGGATTGGAAAGAGTTCCGGTTGGACAGGTAGCACAGATCTATGTAGTTGTAGAAGGTATGAAAGATGTGTTACCACAAATACGCATTACCGATTCGCAGGGTAATAACATTCCGGTGAGCATATCAAAAGGTGATGCAGAGGACAAGAAATACATCATCTCTTACACACCAAAGAACGTCGGGAATCATCAAGTGAGTAACATTCCATGTATAAAATATATATATATCATCCAGCTATTTAAAAGGAACGATATGACAAGCGTGCTTGTTGCATTTTCTATTGCTCTTGTGTAAATATTTCGTTTTCAATAGATGATATGTGGAGGACAACACCATTGATTTACTATATTTTTGCAGTATTTCTGTTATGCTTCGTGAACAACAAAAGATTTCAAATATTTTTTGGTTCTTAATTTTCAGGTTGATGTAAGCTGTGACGGTAAACCGGTTGCTGGATCTCCGTTCACTTCCAAAGCATTTGATGCAAAATGTGCCAAACTTTCATGCATAGAAGAAGCGGTTGTTGGACGTCCTTGTACATTTATGATTGATGCTGCTCGAGCTGGGGCTGGAAATATGGAAATTATAGTCAGTGTTGAGAATCGAAATGTGCCAAATTTCGTGCAGGTTTGAATGTTACTTTTAACTTGTACTGGTTCTTTACAACTGGAAAAAAATGGCCCAGAGAGTCGGAATTAATGAATTCAAATTAATGGGAAAAGTGGGGAAAATAAGAATTGTATAATCGTATCCAATCCAATATTTTATAAAATTCGTTATCTTTTAGGCAGAAGGACAAGCGAAATTCAAAGTTTCATTTACACCACAGGAAGCTAAAGATCACCTTATAAGTGTTCGATTCAATGGAGACCCAGTTCCAGGTAATTATAATTTTTTCTTATTTGCAAAGAATTTATGGTTGAATATGTATTATAACGCAATAAGCATTTCAATTCAGTACGTTTTCGAATAATTTTGGTTCTGGAGGTATTAAATCTGTGTGTCAAATTGAAGGTCAAGTTATTCTTTCGTCATTTTTAGTTTGTACTGAAATGTAGATCGTTTAAAGCATCAAGAGCTTCCAGTACCTTATCCTATCGTTGTGTAAAGCTTTTTGATTACAGCTCTCTTCTTCGTGGTTTCAAAAGATGTTTTGGCACAACAAAAATCATTGAAATGATACTGTTTATAATTATAACAATTTTAGCCGAATCTAATTCACTTTATTACTAAATAGGTTTTACCGTGCATTTCAGTTATGCAAATTTAAGGTTCACCAATGGTCTGTCCAGTGCGAGAAAGATCATCACAGTTGATTGCGGGTATGTCATCATCGGTGAACACTCTAGGATCAGAACAAGAGATTCGTCTAGTTGGCGATCTGACTATAGGACAGGTATAGTGCTAATTTTTTTCGGATTTCGGAAAATATCTTGCATTTCTTTGTCATCCATTCTAAATTTAAACACCTTCACTTCCATCAAAATATGAACTTCTGAAAATCAGATTAAAATGGAAAACACAAGCTTATTTATTTAGATTCGTAATTTTTTTGCTCAGGTTGGTCAAACGAAAGGCTTTAGCATCGATACAGGCGGGCGTGAAATTGATTGCAATGTTGCCATCACTGGTTGGTTTTTGAAATTATTGATGTTATAACACGTTGCTTGTCTCACAAAATCGGAGATAAGTCCTGAACTAAAGTACCTTTTAAAACTTCCGGAAATCTCAACATCCATAAAATCGTTGAACATCGACAATACATTTGTTCGAATTAAAAAAGAGGTGGAATTAGTTAATTGCTTGCATAGAAGTGAATATAGTAGTTATCACAAATAACACTATGACATTTATTATTGTTTCTCCGACTTTGTCAGAAATGCCTTCTAGACAAAAGTTGATTTAGATGCTTTTGCTTGAAGCTTACTCCAATTTGTCATTGCTTTACTTGTTAAATGCACTGTTTCTGTCCACCTTGTTCATATTCCCTCCATACTGGTTGGTTTCGGCGTGTTGCACAGAGGAATGCTGAAATTCAGATTCGCATGGTCGTGAACTGGATGTTGAAGTAGAAAAAGTTTGCAATGGATATCATGTTCAATTCCGGCCTCTAACATCAGGTATCGTTTTTCCTCGTAGCTAATTACTGAAGCGAATTTTATAGCTGTTGTGTTAGATTGATTTACCAATTGATAGTGAATGAATTCTTAGGATGCGTTTGTCTGTTGCAATCACAATTGTCGAAAAAAACTTTTCAGCTTGTGCATAATGAAACATCTCATATTCTGTTAGGAAATACCAGTTTCGGGAAGAATGTGCTTTAATTACTAACTTAGTATACCTTTTCATTACTACAGGTGAACATGAAATTGAAATCGTTGTGAACGGCCAGCAGCTCGGTATCGGACCATTTGTGATGGAAGTTTCGGAACCACCGAAAATTGCCCGTATCCCGTCGACCATTCTTGCTGGCAAAGAGATTATCTTTGAGTGTAAATTGCCTTATCCTTATTTTAAAATACATCTGTGTAAGTAGTTGCAGAATGCGCCAATTCAGAGAAGGGGAAATCGCTAAACAGTCAAATAGAATCAGCGAGATATATAATAAATTTGAAAGACAAAATGTTTTATGGTATTTTACATCTCTTGCTGATATTTACTTCCAGGAATTTCTTTGTTTTTAGTGAACACAGGTGACGTTGTGCAGGGGAATGTGAAAGTAGAAGTTAAGAATGCCAGAAATGGATTAGTGCCAGCGAAAACAGAAGTTGGAAGTGATAGGATTGTTCGAGCCTTTTGCACGTAAATATTTCTTGTAGCAGTGTAGTTTTTCAAACGGAATAGATAGAGAAGTTATAAAAAACTTGTCCATAATTAGCAAAGCTGGTAAATTGTAATTTCATCCCACAACAATTTTTATCTTGAAGTACTCTACACACAGGATAGTTTATATTAAATTTACTTCGGATACTTGATCCGATCTATATATCTGTATAACCCTGAGTTTATATTAGGTTCACTTCAGAAACTCGATTCAGCCTATATATTTGCATGGTCATGAATGGGAGACTCTATTATTAAAATTTCTTTATTCTCTTTTCCACTTTTTTGCTTGTTTCAGATTTCATGAAACAGGTCGTTATTCTGTGGATGTTTTTGTTAACGAGATGCCTTACGGTGAACGGCAGTATGTCCGAGTTATTCAAAGTGGTCGCGGTGCTGTACTCGTAGATGATATTGAACAAGCATTGGTTGGTTGGTCATCTAAACTAATTCTACGAACCGAACCTGATGCCGGAAAACACTTATCGGTTGTCATCATTGGTTAGCTCATCTTCTTAAATTTATCTTCTAATTGTTAAATAAATGCTATAAAAAATAAACACGATTATCTCTTCAAGTAATTGTTGATCGAATAATGATGGTATTTTTATTGGTTAGGCTGTCCCTCCGAAATATGCTATCCATATGAAAAGAGTTTTGTCCACTCGATATCTGGAGTACAAGTATTTTTTTTGGATGGATGGTTACATTGTTGAAATATGTGGATGGCATTACTTATGTTTCGTATGCTTCATTAGAAACTTTAGATTTTGAAATTGAACGGTTTTTAACAACATACAAATTTAGAACTAAAACACATCTGGAATCAGTTTTTTGTATCTTTCAGATCCAGAACGAAATCCAGTCCCTGTATCGCTGAAGAAACTTCCCGATGAAATATTCGAAGTGGAATTCACACCACGAACAGAAGGAGTTCATAGTATATCAGTGCTGGTAGGCGACGAGCATATCCGAGGAAGTCCTTTCAAAATTACGGTACTGGATTTGAGCGCTGTGCGAGTAATCGGTCTGAAAAATGATCGTGTTGGCATCGAACAACGTTTCAATGGTTGAGTCGTTTTTTTAATGTGTTCTTTACTGATACTTGTTTAACCAATATGATTCAAGAAATATTTCAAAAATTTAATTGGTTTTGAAAATTGGTAGCTTTTAATGACCTTCCAGTGGATTGGTCAAATTCGGGTGGTGTGAATGCAACAGTGAGAGTAACATGTGGAGGTAAGGAGGTACCATGCACGATGAAACGTATCAAAAGAGGCCTTCACGTGTGTTCGTTTATACCGCGACAGGTTGGACTTCATCTGATAGATGTGATGATCGATGAAATGCTTCTACCGGGTATAGTTTCAGAAGTGAATCGTTAATTCTTTCTTGTAACAGAAAAATCATATTTCGTAACTTTTTCACTTTCCATTTATAAGACAATATTTATGTGTGAGACTTTTGCCAGTCCTTGCATAAGAAGGAAAGACGGGAAGCTTTTTTTTTTGGAGCATTATCTTCTCTTTCTTCTGGAAATTTATTAGCTTGACTTTTTTCCAATTTATTTTACCGTCTTTTTTATCTATGGCTTTTCAAGAATATTCAATGGTTGGCAGAGAATAATAGAAATGCATTACTTGACTCGAAGGTAGTAAGTTAGCTTCCATTAAAACGGAAAAGGCGAAAATCTTCATCCAAAAAATTTTTTGTGTTATAAGTTTTTTAAACTGCAATGATTTCATGATCTTTTTCAAGATTCTTTATAATTCAAAATTTTTTTTAACAAATTGTAGAATGTCCATACGAATGCATCGTAAGCGATGCAGGATCAGTGAGAGCACGTGGTGATGCATTGACACGTGCACAACGTGGCAAAACAGCTCGTTTTGAAGTTTCATTGAATGACACAGAACATGGTGAATTGGATGTAGTAGTGTCAGGTATTTTTGCTTTCTCAAGAAGAATAAAAAACGATGACTTAAATGAGAGTGGAAATAAGTAGAAGCACGTACGCATTTGCTGTGAGTTTCTAAAATTCGAAATTTATTCTTAAAGTCTTCAAACTACTTTTTCGATTTCTGTCAACATTGGTACCAATCATTATATCACTGGTATCAAAGTGTTCACATAAGTTGGTGCGATGGCTTTTAAATTCGTCGTTTTGTTGCGGTATACTATCAGTTTAAAAATGTATATATAAAGGTGCAGATAAACGAAGAAGTGAAATATATTTTGTTTTATTGTAATAAGCTAATTTCAGGTATATGTTCCATTCCCAGTAAAATCACATGTTGTGAAATTGTACCAAGTTTCACTAAATTTTAATTATTTTTAGTTCACCAATGTCGTGTTGCACTTCGTTATATCACACTGTGTCACATGTCTGTATTGCCCACGCTGCAATTTCACTAATTTATGCATTCTTCCTTTTCTTCTTTAACTTCCGATTTTTCTGTTTTTATAACTTTTTTTTCAGATTTACGAGGTAGACCATTACCAGTTCGGTGTTATAAACAACATGATGATAGTTATTGGGTCGAATTTACACCTGAAAACATCGGTAGCTTTTTTATTCCGAAAAAAAAACTGAAATCGATAAAATTTCAATGTTAACTTTTGGTTTAGGAAATTCCCTTGTAGCTTTTTTCTGATCTCCTATTTATCCCTTACTTTCATCATTCATGCCAGATGGTGTTCCAAATCAGTGGATATAACTCATTTGGCTGTCTAGGTTTGTAAAAAAAGAAAAATACTTTTTTTTACAAACTTTCTACACATTAGCGACTCGTTTTTTACATTCACTGATTGATTTTCGGTCTCCATAAATCATTTACGAACACTAACTGTTAGTTTCTGTAAATAATTGGTGTATAATAAATTCATAGGTCATCATCCTCTTCTACTATTATCGCTCGGTTAATCTTGGTTTCCCACACTCTTACTCGTGAGTAACAAATAGAGGGCAGTTTTTAAAGTGCTTTCTGAATGAAACTGCTCATACCATTTAAACAGATAATCAGCATGGAAAAGTGAGGACGGCAATTGTCTGTAAAAAACAAATTTAGAGAAGAATCAAACAATGCATTACCAACTTTGAGCATATAAGTAAATTTTCAGTTAAGAATGCAAACATACAACACATATATTGAATATCTATTATTTGTTAGCTTCATGGAGGAAGATCAGATCGGTCTCTCAATGTTTCCTCCCTTATCTTCTTAGTAGTATAAGGTCCCCGTTTAATGAGCAAATTCCTTTCAAAATATTTCTCATTAAATATCAATTTTAATCATTTTAGGAGCACGTTGGATAACTGGCGCATAAATCCTAATCAGTCTCATATTGAACTTATAGATCTTTTAAATCTTCTCACCCTCTAAATCGTCCGGAATTTAGAATTCTTTCTTCAGGTCTTCATCAAATTGAAATAACATTCGCTGATGCACCAATAGCTGGTAGTCCATTTAAGTGCATAGTGATCGATCCAAGGAAAGTCTTTATCAAAGGTATCAATGATCCATTCATTATCAAACAACCTGCGCTTATTACCGGTAAGTTCTTTGGAGTTTGCTACTAGCATGACGTTTTTCAGCATATTTTTGTTTTATTGCAACATTGTAACATTGTTTATATATCGTTTGTTAATATATGCCCTGTTCAATAATTTTAAGAATTTTAAATGTTATAGTGAACCGTCAACTGGCAGGTGGCGGTGACTTGACTGTGGAATTGACTGACCCATCTAATGAACCGGTGCGAGTAGATATGCAAACAACCGCTGATGGTGATGATGTTTTCGAATTTACCCCAACCAAAATTGGCCAGTATAAATTGTTCGCAAAATTGGCTGGTTTTCTTGTTAATGGTAAAAATTTAGATGATATAATAACTAAAATTTCAGATAAGAGATTTAAATAATAGCTACTACAATTATTATTTACCTCTCGTATCTTCTTCCTAGCCATTCCCTTGAAGTCCATAAATAAGAACTAAACAGGAATTTCTGCTATTTATGTTTCAGGTACACCGCATACATTGATTGTTGAAGAGCATGGCAAACCTATTTTGCGTGGATCCGCAACGGAACATCCTGTGGAGGTGGATCGTCCAACGAGCATCATTTTCGATGCCAAAAATGTAAAAGGAAATTTGAAAATCGACGTACGAGGTAGAGAATCGCTTTTCTCATGATTCCTAATGAAGACTGGTACTTCGTTCTCTTGTCTTTCATTTGACTGAAAATTAAATTATTTGGAACAATTATTTAACTTACAAGAATATATATGGCGCTTTTTTAATTTTTAAATAAAATGACTTTGTTGCTTGTCTGAGAAGCTTCTGTCCCTCTGGGCAGGATGAATTATCCTGCTTCCTTTTGCTTATGTTGAAGTAAATTAATATAGCTTTAGTAAAACTTTAACGAATTAAAACAATTCTTCAGGACCGACGAAAGCGAAAATTCGGCATACAGTAAACAAAAATCCAGATGGAACAACGGAAATTTCGTTTACACCAACGGAAGTGGGCCGTTATTTAGTAAATATTGAGCATAACAATCGAACTGTTTCTGGTAATTTTTTCGTGACAGTGTTCACTAATTTCCTTTTTCATTAAACTTTTGTTGGTGAATGCTGATGTGAAGCAATAAAACCAATTCAGGAAGTCCATTCGAGATCGAAGTTGTTGATCCACGGAAAGTGGTTGTGAATGATCACTTGGCTGATGAAAATGGGGTATATCAATTCGCAATACAGCAGAGAAACATCATCGACGTTGATGCCACAGCCGCCGGATCTGGTAAGTCATTTGTGCGGAAAAATTGCTTTTACAAGTTTTAAATATCTCTAGTATTTTAAGGTTTCTGTTGCTAAATAGTTTTAGTTGAAGGCTAATTTATGTGTAAAAGAACTTGTGGTTGTATCATTTGATAGCGGTGATTGAGTTCTTTTATCAGCCTTATTCGCTTTAGTGAGTTCATTTGAACTCATCAGAAATATTTTTTGAATTTCTCACAATCAAAAAATCTCAGGCAAACTTCGAGCGGAAGTTCGTGATTGCGACGGCAAATCAATGAGTGGTTGTGATGTTGAGTCACTTGGCTATGGCAAATATCGTGTAATATATTATCCGCATCAACCTGGAAAATACGGCATCTATCTTTACTGGTCTGATATAGCGGTCCAAAAAGCACAGCCACTACACGTAATTGCTGAAGGCGAACAGCCCTCGACCTCACGTGCCGTACCGCTTGCAAATACTGTCGCAACAACGTCACACAGCACCCTAAGATCTCGACCTGAGTAAGTGGGTTCCGAGTTGTTTTCACTAATTTGAATATATACAACAAATTTGATAATTTATAAATGATTTCACACTTTTGATGTTTTTCAACTTCATTGTTGGAAAGTGTCAAAAGTGTCATTCATTCTAGTTTTTAGACAAATTTTTAGAAACCGTTGCAAATGAACGTAAAATTAATTTCTGATGTCATTTATCCTAATGTGGTTGAAAAATATTAATCTTATTTAAAATACTGAATAACGTTCCGGATAACCTTCTGGAGGAGCAAATCCGGAGCATTAATAATTCCCAGTTAAAGAAATTGTCAGATTGGGTCACTGTTCATGATTCATGTTTTTTTCTCTTTTTTTTTATATGTATTTACTATTCCTATTGTAGGGGGAGCCATTGTCAACTAAACAATCCTAATCTTAATTCATTTTTACAAACACCGAAATTTAGTGATCGTTCACATTACGAGGGGAGTGGAACAGACTACCTGAGAGTAGTACTACGAGGTGAGGGTGTAACACGGGCTACTAATAATGAACAAGCAGAATTTATCATCGATGGCTCCGATGTCTCTAAAGGTTTGCCATTCTTAATTGCAAATTTTGGTACAGTTTGTATGTGACGTTACGGTTATGAATGTCAATTGCGTGTTAGGAGGGTCAAACAACTCAAAACTTTTTGTGATTGTCATATTTCAGATGGACAGGTATCATGTTCTTTGTTTGGACAAAAAGCAGATATTCCGGTGCGCTTAACTCATCTGGGAAACAACGTTTACAAAGCTATCTACACACCGCTGATACCTGGCATCTATGAGTTACAGGTTGGTTTTATCAAATTTGGCTTGAACTCTTCAGTTGTCGATATGAAATTAATTTTATTTTGCAAATTGGCTTGATACTAAAAGTAAGGCTATTGATTACATGAAAGTTAAGATTCTCTGACTGCTTGATGGTGCTTGTTCACTAATTTGAATCCCGAAATTTTAGAGACTTCAAGAATTATTTTAGACAGTAATAGACATTGCGATTACAGATAACGTGGGACGGGCACCATGTTCGAGGTTCACCTTTCCGAGTGCAAGTTGATCTGCATTCAAGTGCTGCGGAGGCCATCATTATCGATGCGAATACGTTAAAGATGGGGATCGTAAATGAGGATGTGAAAACTATTATTGATACTAGGAAAGCGGGACCAGGTATGAATCTTCAATAATGTTTGTTATTTACGTCGTCATAGAACAATTCCAAAAACAATCCGATTTAGGGCTTGCGCAAAAGGTAGAAATTTTAGAACACTGTTAATTTACACCTTTCATGAATGTACAACACTGATATTCTACACAAATTATTACTTAACAGTATTCCTTTACACGCTGTTGTTGAAGTATTACTTAGATATCGCATGCTGCCTGTTGTAGCATTGTTTTTCTACCCGTTAATAATAAATTAATAGAAAATTATGGTAACGTAAGCCTGATCCTACTGCATACTCAGTTAAGCATATTCAAACTCTCAGTATGGCTTAATTTTAACTCCGAAATCGAAATATGTAAAATGTGCACCTGTAATTGCGAATGATTTCCATGAGTGGGATTATTGTAGTAAGTTCCCAGAAGGTATTAAGTTAAGAAATATGTCAGAAGTATTTTGATTTCCAATTAATGTTTAGAATATTATGTTTTCGTTTCAGGCCAGCTATCAGCACAATGTATGGGACCAACGAAACTTGCATACTGTGAACTTTACGATCTTCGCGATGGTACATATACTCTTTCAGTTAGACCTTCTGAAATTGGGAAACATACACTGGGTATGTTTGCTTCTATAACAAGTAGTGATAAATTCGTTTTTACGCATCTTTTCCTTGGATGATATCCTTTAAACAAAAAACAATTTGGAAATAGATTGAGAACGGTTTTTGAAATTTGGCCGATTTTCTCGTGCATCTTTTTTCACATTCCTCTGTTTTCTTATTTTAATGTTTCTGCTTTATTTAACATTGATCCCTTTGAACAAATCATAATTGACTACGGTGAAAATACGTAATAGGGAAACTGGGAAATTTTTAAAAATGTTCATTTCAATTGTTTTAGTTGTGAAATATTCGGATGAGCAGGTGCCAGGAAGTCCGTTCATTTTCAATGTTTCCTATCCGCCAGATGCATCCAAAGTTCGTGTATATGGACCTGGAATTGAGCATGGAATTCTGTCCACGTAAGCTGAACTTTTTTATTGATCTCAATTTCTTTCTTTACTGTTAATTTTTTATTTAAAATGCAAAATGCAAGTCTGGATATCATCCAAGAAATCTGATCAGTAGTCATTTATTTCTTTTACGCATATTTTATATCATAGATGTATCCGATGAATAATCAAAGCTTTTTGTTACAGATTTAAATCAAATTTCATTGTTGAAACGAAAGGCGCTGGAGCAGGACAGCTCACAGTACGTGTTCGAGGACCAAAAGGAGCATTCAACGTAGAAATGCAAAGAGAAAAGAAGCAGGAAAGAACAATTCATTGTAAATATGAACCAAAGGAACCGGGAGATTACCAGGTTCTACTACATTTCATACATTAATCTTAAAGTGATTGGCGAAATTGAGCATTCAGAATATTGAAATATAAGAAATAATAGATAAGGAAATGAAGGCTTCAGTATAGTTACTTTTCCAGTGTAAAAGATGGTATCATTCCGGGATATTTTGCTTTTTATATTGTGACTTAAGTGTTTCCAATAATATATAGGGTTTAATTTTTTTTCTTCAATGTAAACAGGATTTAATTTTAGGTGGAAGTTAAATGGCATGGTGAACATGTCCCGGGATCGCCGTTTCTGGTAATGATTGTGGATACCGAACAGGAATTACAACGATTCCTATGTGGTGATGCACCGTCACCACAGCCAGCAACTCCGTTCATACCACCTGGCTGGATTGGCACTCCACCACCACCACCGTTGTTTCTTGGTGGACCACCACCGCGTGGTCCGTTTCTTCAGCCTCATGCCACTGCACTGCCTTTGCCATCACCAACTATTCAGGGGGCTCCATTGACGGGAGCGCATGGGTCCTTGCTGCCGTATGGAGCGATGCCACAACCACCGCATGTAATGCGTACCGCAATACGACCTAGGTTTATGAGTGGTTACTGATGATTTTAGAAAATGTTGAGTTGACTAAAATATTGTTTTCGCCGCTCTTAATCACTTGACTTAAACATTTCCACTAGTGTTTCTCAGTAGTGCATTATGTATGTGTGTGTGTATGTGTATGTGTATGTATGTGTGTGTATGTTTGTGTGTATGTGTGTGTGTGTGTATGTGTGTGTATTCTTGTCTTCTTTATTTTTACATGACGAAATGAATAAATAATGATTTATTGTGATGAGAATTTGCACCCCCTGAAAATCCCTGGAAAGTGCTCCTTAATTGCCTGGAAAGGACTCTAAACATTTTTCAAGTAGAAATTATTCTGATTCTAAAGTTTTTTCTGCATCTCACTTCTATAAAAATATTTGATTTTCATTTTTGTTTCTTGATTGCTGTAAAAGATCATACCTATTATAAACACTGATGGATCAATCAAAAGAATATTGAACAAAGTCTGTTTTTTTAGCGAAAACCTTGTGTTTGTGTTTCTTGAAATTCATGTTTTCCGTCCAAGTTGAAACGATTATGAATCAGCGGCGAAATTCAACATTTGAAATGATTATATCGTACTTCTTGAAACGGATCCAGGATCATGATGGGATCATGTTGTATTCCCACGTGCTTCAGACGTTCACATAAATTTTGTTTATCATTTTTTGAAATCTTTACGAAGCAATGATGCGAGTTGCTGGGTACTTTTTTCGAAAAAGTTCCAAATGGATTTCTGAATGTAAAGGATGAAGTACATTTTGGGTCAATGCATAATTTATTTGAACGTCTTCATTAGCCAGTCTCACCACTACCGTCCTTTTACCGTATCATATTGTTGTAATTCTGATAACTTGCAAAATGTGACTTCGAAAATGTTTGGTTTCCTTGTCATATTTCGTAATCACCTTATTCTATCGCTTCTGGACTGCCGATCTATTACTGATCGCTGCACCCCGGATTCCTTTCCAGCTCAAGAAATTTTTTGTCAGTCAATGTCGTCACATTCGTGTGCAAAAGCGACGTTGGTCGTTTCACTTTATTCTTATGGTTTCTCTCAATTTGATGTGGTTTTGTAATGTAAGTTTGTTTTCTCACTCAACCAACCATATTTTCTCACCATGAAATACGAATTTGCATTAAAAATTCCGAAGAAAAATCTCGCAATCATTACATCAGAGTGCTTAGTGTTTAGCACAAAGTCACAAATTGGTCAATGGAAATGCCAAACTTCTCATTAATATTTTATATACGTACAAAGAAGGTATCTTATTAGTCGAGCAATTTTATACTTGGACATCAAACCTCATCAATTTAAATTAGCAGGTGGTCATTAAGAGGATATTTTGAAGGTACTATCACTTGATGGTTAAATACTACTTAAAATTTCTTGAAAATGATTTTAATGATTCGCATGTAAATACGTTACTTTTATTAATAGCATTTTCGCTTGTGACTAACAATGCTTATCATTAAGCATATATCCACTGTGAAATTGAGAACTCTGTGTTTCTAAAGTGCTGCATCACCTGAATGATCTCGAGATTACAAATGGGTTACATGCACCGGTTAGTACTAGTTTTTTATATCTTAACTAGAGAGGATTGACTTGCATTGTTATCAAATCATTGTTCAAACTTATCATTAATCAAAGTGTTGGATCACTGGTTCTACTAAAACAAATTCGAACTACTTGCTCGCTCTCTGTATGTGGATGGGTTTTCATTCATCAATTATATAAATAGACGACGATTTTTTCCTCACTGATGAGAAACACTGAAGAGCTGTAGTAGTACACAGACGTGAAAGCGATCAACAGAATCGACTAACTGTATATAACCTCTGCTACTTGATCTGAAGACTAAGAGCACCGCAGTAAAGAGTGAAAGTGGTAAGCAATGATAAACTGAAAATAATGAAGAGGTGCTTGGGAAATCGTGGTAAACAGTGCAGGGTAAAGGAGTGAGGATAGAATAGTATCGTTAGAAACAATGAGGACTGTCAGGATATTGATAATCGTCGCAATAGGCCTAATTTTCATTAAAATAGATTAAAGAAGAAGCGAGCTGTCCATCATATCAGTTAAACTGAGTCTATGCAGCTGACAGGCCTTCATCCCAATCTAATCCACCTGTTCTGCCTCAGATCTTCATAGTTTTGAAATTAGGTTAATTTTTGATATGAAACTGAACATTTCGTTCGATTCCAGCTAGACTAGATCCAATTATCAGATTTCTTTCTACATTAAAAAAGAGGAGAAGAATGATTTTGTCAATACTTCGATAAACTCATCTTTGTATTTTCAACTTGATCCTTGACAAGTGCAACAAAATCATTGGAGAAGATGAACTATAGTAATTATCCGAACGTCGTTCCATCCATCATTCATCTGCTCTTTTTATCCGTTATTTTGATCTGTTTATTCATTCCCACAGCTATTTCTTTGCATCTTGTGATACGTGAAAAACATATCGTCAATCACATTTCAAAATGTTTGTTTCCATTAATCTTTCCATTACAAGCAGGAATGGTTTAAGCGGAAAACAGAAGAAAGAGTTTTTCAACTTTTCCACCGAGAGAAAGAAGGAAAGAGGAGGATGAATGAATGAAAGTCTATGCTTCAGTGACTATCAACTTTGTTTATTGTTAGAACAGAGGAAGTAAGCATTATGATGAATCTGTAGGACTGATGCAACACATTCACTACTTTACATTTCATGCTTCACAAAACTATCAAGACGAAGTAATTGCTGCAGCAAAGTGAGAAAAACATAAACTTTTTAATTGCCCTTCTTTTTTGAAAAATTTTTCAAGAAGATAGTGAAAGAAGTTACTTTCTTTTTGAAAAATGTCGCCGAGTAGTTTCATTCATGTCATTCATTTTTGACTTGGCTCACAAACTGACATCAGGTAAGGCTGTGTCATTCGGTCTCTTTTTTTGCAGGTCAGGCTGTCATTCAAGTATTTAATAAGCCTTCCTCTCTGATTTTCCATCTCAAAAATTTCTTCCTAAGCCTTTTACAACGGTACTTTTTTTTACGGAGAAGTAAAAGTGCGAAAAATAATTCTGTTTTCTGGAGGAAATGGATAATAGCACAAAGCACTTTGACTTTATATGTTATATTTTCCATATATTTTTTGTCGAAATACATAATATTGAAATGTCGCGTGATCTTAAATACTTCTACTAACTTTTGACTTTGTTTTCAAGTTCTACGTATTTCCTGAAGGCTGCTAAAAATAATTTCATAAAATAATAATATTTCTGATAGCACTGGTGCGGTATTTTCCCATCAGTAAAATTTAAAAACGTATGAGAATCACACTTGACGAGAATAACGTCAATAGACTAAAATTTCTTCACGTGGAAAGTTATCCAGGTTTTTCTCATATGAACTATGCATCCTTTCTTTAACTTTTTCATATCCTTCCATTTTAATCTGTATTGCGATTACTTGCAACATGAATAATCCTCTTGATTACTATTATATTTTAATATAAGTATTGCTGGCTCTTATTTGCTACTATTCAGCAATCACAAAGTTTTGCAGAACGAAGAGCAGTTCTTATTGAGAACAATGAAGTCATTACTGGATAGATAACTTTTAAAACTGCTACATATAGTAATTGGATGAGTTTTTCGAATACATTCTTGTAGTAAGGCATTTTTTTCTGACATGTATTACTTATCCGCCAGCTATGCTCTTATTTTTGATCTAACTTGTTTTGTAATGCAGTAGATTATCATTATTTTGCATTACTGTGTCTCTCCGAAAATAAATCATCCTCTGAAAATAGCTCCTAGTGACATTTTCAAGGAAGGGCTTAATATAAGCCGTCCTCTGAAAACAAGACCTAGTTCGGCCTTACCGCAGCCGCAAGCAGCACGAATACCGTCGCTTCCTGCAGCCGTGTCAAGCTCTTGATAACGCCTTGGGCCCACCTCCGTCCTCCACTGGTCATTGCCCGGCCTTTTCGCCGTTCGGCGTGGTCGCAGGGAACACCGGCTGCGCTGAGCCTAATGGCTACGCAGGAATACCAGGGTCGAGAAGCATCAGAACGCCTGGTCTTTCTGGTTGGTGAAGACAAAATGAATGATTGTTTCCTCGAAAATAAGACATTCTGTGAAAATAAGCTCTAGAACTTTTCTTTTCTTTTTTTTTTTTTTGTTCAAGGGGCAAGGGAATAATATACGATCCTTCTTATTTACGGGAAACACGGTATTGAATTATATATGTGTGTATATCAATCCACATTTACTGAATTTAATTAAATCAGATTGAAATTGAGGTTTATGTATGAAGCTGATAGCTTAATTATATAATCAAATCAAATCAAATTTGCAAGATTTTGGTAAAATAGGTTCAAACAACAGGCTAATTTGATTTTTTAAGCCGTGGAGAGTATCTTTTTTTTGAGACTGCGTGGATGCAAGAGGAGCTATTAGTAAGAAAGCAGAGGATCGCTTCGTTCGTGCGATGTTTTCCTGAAAAATTAGATCCTGCTGACGTAGTGTTAAACAGCTGTTGATTCCATAATGTATTCGCATTCCTGAATAGTTTTAAATTTTGATTCCGAAGCAGAAACCATCATACAATCATTTAGTATCATAAATTCTTAGATTTGTCATGGAAAAAAGAGTAAAAAGATGAAGGATATTGTTTTTGTTCGTTGTAGAAGGCAGTTAAGTTTTAAAGGAATGACTTACACAGTCATTCCTTTAAAACCGGTATTGTTTGTGCCCGAAACGTACGGCAGTTTATCCTTTATTATCGTCCGGATACCAAATACAATAGAAATGGATTCAAACTTATTCCAATTACAACTTACTAGAATAATGTCATTAGAATCATTAGTTATTAGAATAACGTCCAGAATAATACCAGTAGAACAATGGGAGAAATTTGTAAGTAGTAATTAGTGAACTGGGAGAAATATGAAGAGTGTGTTGTGTGAAGCTGAGTGCCGACCAATAGAATTAACAATGAATGTTAGAATTTCTTACGGTTTATATAAGGAAGAGGAACAATCATACCAAATGACAGTATTCTCACAGCTGCAAGAGAAATTTACATATCTTAGTTAATTTATATTAAGAACAAGTGGCCGTGGATTACAAAACCAATGCATTATATAAAAGTTCTTAGACAAAGGGATTCTAAAACAAAGAAATGCGATGTTTAACAGAAGTTTAGAAATGTACCATTGGTTATAAGCATGGTTATCAGATTACACATCTCTACAATATGCCCATCAATGTGCGTAAGCTGAGTTGTCATCTAACTGTTTAATAAGGACCAAAGATTAAGAGTAGTTTGGTTATTAAATGGCAGTCCTTTACCACAATATTACAGGAATTGGATAAATGATTCATCACTTGATACTGTGTAGTGCATTTGAAAATTTAATTGTAATTTTTGTGCAATGAATCACTTATCGGGAAATGATCTAAATAAGACAATATTTAAGATACAAATTTGTGATACACATACTTTGATTGTTTTAACGAATTATAAATTTTTTTTTTGGTTTTCCCGACAAGATCATTTATTTAAATTAGTGGTTCCCGACCGGCCGTTCACGAGAACTAAAATATGGTTCGAGAGGACTGTGACTTTGACTTTGACTAATACGTTAGAAGTTCTGATTAAAATTTATCTCCAAACTAACAGAATTTATTATTTGAACCTTTTGGTCCATGTTACAAATAAAAAACTCAAAGTGGTCAAAAAAAAGTTGGGAGCCACTAATTTAGATTGTAACATCAGTTAAGAAAATGCTCTAAGAGAGTGATAACAAGAATGATACTGTCATTGATGCTGCGATGATTTAAATGGAATAATATGAAGTTACTTTAAAAGAGTCATTATGCTGTTCTAATATGAATTATTCTCTGTGATTAAACTCTTCTTCTTCATATTCTGATTATTGAAAATAATGAGAAATAAAGTCATCAAGAGTTATATATGAAATCAGATCGACAGCTTCGATAGTTCAATTATCTAAATTAGAATCGAGGAATTAATTTCGGCAATCTTTTTTTGTACGAATTTGTTCAATTCTTTTTTTAAAACTTTTTTTCTCATGTTATCAAATTATGGGCTTTCGTTTTTGGAGAAAATAGCTTTAAAAATTTTCGAAAAGCAATGTTTTTATATAAATCAAATTCGAGAAAATTCAATTTGCGAGAGATACAACGCTTCTTACTTTTTCAAATATTCGTTACTTTGACTTCCCTTTTTATGTTCTTGATAGATATTCTCAGTAGTTGAAAATGAATTGAGGATAAAATATACCGCGACATTCGGCAAAGTTTAATATCAGCGATAAAAGGTTTCGAAAGTATTTTCAAAAAACTTCACCTCCCTATAAAGTCTTAAAGAATAAAAGTGACCGTTGATGATAAAAAATTTACCGAAAATGGTAGATTAAGTGTTACATCGAAAATCATCAATATAATAAAAGTGTACATCTACAGGATTTATTGTCAAATATTTTATTCCTATATCACTTAACTTTATTCGTATATTACTTAAACAGTTTAACCTACTGAATTTAGGTTTTACGACTGAAAGCTGAAGAAAATTACGATCGAGAGCAATTAAAAGAAAGTGAACTTGCACATCCTTGGAAAATCTTATATATCAGTGCTTTGCACAACTTTATTGAAAGGACATTTTGATACAACACTGGATGGCAAATTTGAGTTGCGGTGCAAGATGCCTTAAATTTTGCCTTTTCGTCTTTAATTTGATTTTTTTGGTAACCTTTCTTTTAATATTTTGAATATCTTATCTGAATAACCTTACTGCATGAATCAATTTTCACAAAATATTTGTTTCACTGACGCGAAGCTATCATTCTCGTTTACCGGAATAAGATGAAGATGTTTACAGCTATGTGGTTTGGTATGTGTTGGTATTGGCACATGGTTGGTGCTAGATCGATATGCAGTGGATAGCTTGGCAATCGCCAGTGAAAAAGTTCAAGTGACCGATGATGGATTGCGAGAATTGGTATGCTCCTTCATAATCCTGGTTTTCCTTTCTATCTGTTAAGGTAAAGTTGTCAAGGCAAACTTTTTTATACCTGCGACGAAAAAGGAGATAGAAGGAAAGAAGAATAAAGAATAAATTCTATGCTGATAAAAATACAAATCAGAAGTTTGATAAAATTTGTTATAGCAATACCTAAATTCATTATTGTCCATATAATGAAACCATTATTCAGTTTAATATCATATATAAATTTAAACTCTCATATATAAATTTAAATATTTAGGATTATAAATTTTATAATTAAAGGCATCTAAACCAGCAGCGGTGCGACAGATTGGATTTCTGTTGATTATTGGTGGTATAATTGTTATTGTTGTATCGTTTATGGGTTGCTGTGGAGCAGCCAAAGAATGGCGTGTCCTTTTATGCTGCGTAAGTTATCATTAGCTCAGTTAGTTTTGCATATTTATTAATCAGTATTGTATTTTGTGATGGGTCAGCGAAGAACAACTGCTTCTGTTTATTTTACAGAAATAAAGTAACAATGATCCATCCATACATTTACGAAATAACACAGAAACTGTTCAAAACATCTGTTTTCTTGTGCATCCAATCCAGAGAAGACTAAAGACATGCAATTAAAATTTCTAAATGAGACAGTTATTGTTCAACTAGATGAGACACTTTCTGTTCTTAGCTTGATCCCATTAGGAAGGGGTTCCAACTACTGATGTTCGATGTCTCCGCTAGTCGTATCATGTAATTTGTCGAATAACAAATTGAGATTATGCGCTCGTTTTGATGCCGGAAATTTATAAATCAGAAATTTGAAAAGCGATACCTTAGAGCAATGAGGAGGGAGTTATTGTAGCACTGTAATAAGACAAAATCATTTTTAACACTGGTAGATTTAAAATACAGAAGGAAAATTAACAGCTTTTTCAAAGGTCATGATCATCGTCGCTCGATTGATTATTTTTTACAGTATGCAACATGCCTTATGATTATATTGGCAACACAAATAGCAGCTGCGATATATGCCGTCATGCATAGCCACATGGTAGGTATTCATTTATTCATTGCTCAAATAGAATCTTCAATGTAAAGTTGTTTATTCATATGCAATCTTCTCTTCTTGATCCATCTTTCATTTCTTTCATTGATGAGCTGCAGTTCGCACAAGATTTTCGACAAATTTTAAAAGCGTCGCTAAAATTGTATAACGGAACGGATACTACAAGCAGAATGTCCGATGATACAGTGCTTATGAAGGCTGCATGGGATAAAATCATGATCGAGGTGAGTTTGATGATAGCGTAGGATTTATAAGTTATCTAATGAAAGCAAAATTAATTTAAATAAAACAAGTTCAAAACTGTGCTAATTGAATGTACGGTTATTTTGGTCATGTTTATAGTTGTCATGTGTCCTAGCTATCAGAACTCGCCTACAACAGCAATCGTAACTTTTCCTGTTAATCTTCTAATGATAACGAAACCGCTTATAATATCTGTGTGATGATTTACAGAAATCTTGTTGTGGCGTAGATTCAAAAATTGGTGATTTCAACGAAAGTGGTTGGTATCAGCTAACTGGTCGAAGACATCATTTTCCGCCAGCTTGTTGTCCGCCAAATAAGGATGGAACTTTAATGGCATTTTGTCCTGTAATAGCAAGATATGGCGATGTCAGTGGTCATTTCTCGTCGAATTATATTTAAAGTTTCTTAAAATTTTGCTCAACAAAATCATTCTTCCATTTACATCCGAACTCAAAATTCTGAATAAAAGCCAAGGCAGAAACTTACCATTGTAAATAAAAAGTTAGATGATTTCTGAGAAAACCTAAAAATTATCACCTTTCATTTATCTCTACACTTTCTTGCAACAATTCGGTTCTTTTGTACTAAATGATTCCAGCAACATCACGTTTTCTTTTACATCATTATTGCACTGTAGGGTTGCTATGATAGAATCAAAGATTCTGTGCAGGCCTTATCAACTCATTTCAAGATTGTTGCATGGACTGTAATCAGCATTGCATTGATACAGGTAAACTGAATACTTCCATAGGACCATTTATCTCCAAAAAGCGTCAAATCTAAGAATTTGTTGAACTTTGAACCTTTCTGTGAACCCAATTAAAATTCTTTCGTATGTTTTCAAGATAATCATTTCAGAGTTTTACTAAAATGATTAATATAGAAGATAGAACTAGAATATATTTCAATATTTTTATTTTATTTCCATAGAAGTTTTTAATAAACTTCGGAGTTTTTTGGTTAGAAGGAATATGCCGCCAAATACCTTAGAATTACAGATTATTCAGATTATGCAAGAGAATATCTGGAGCTCACTGAGCATCAGAATAAAGTCAAGAAGTATCCAAGCAACTTTTAAAGCAGCAAAAGTCTTTTTATTTCAGATATTCGGTATAACGGTGGCATTTTGCTTATGTAACGCTATTGGTGAAGATGAGTACTACTGATATATGCGTTTGTAATCTTAGTCTCTTCAAGTTTGTCGCTTTTGCTCTATATGTAAATTTTTCTTCTATTGGAGGTATACTCTTTGTGGGATTTAATAGTTTTTTAAATGTTGCATTTTCCAATGCTGTTTTGAGAGTAGATTCAGTTGCTCAATTTCATAACTGCCATTGTAAAGGCAGATAATTTTGATTCCAAAGTTCCTATACTAAAAATAATGGGTTTTTAGTCTTTTTTAGCATGGGTTTTGGACAGTTCCTTTTTTAGAAAAACTTTCTACGCTTACAAAATGATCGTGTAGTCGGATTTTTGGTGTCACTATTTTAAATAGACAAAATTGGGGTTTACCGTTTCATTACTCAGAATTTACATTTAGAAGTGGATCGAAAAGTGCAAGGAACTTCGGTCCCAGCAGTTTAGTTTCAAAATGAGGAAAATTATAGTATTTTTGTTTCTTACTATCATTTTTGATTAAACAATTTTCAAATTTCAAATGGTTGTCTACTTCCAAAATATTATTGTACAATGTTGCATGGTTGAGCGGATAATTTCTAACTATCTTGTACTCTCTTTGGTTATAGGATGAGTATTGTCTATACTATTTTCTTAAAGAAACTTTGAAAATTTAAGTAGAAAGAATTTTGTGATTACTCGATCTAAGCTATTCCACTCCCAGACACTGAGTTTTGTGGTGAAAATCTTCTGGAAATTAATTGCAGAGACCAATCATCCAATAGTTTTTACACATTTTACATTAAATTACATATTTACCTTGGGTTAAACATGAGAAGAGATCGCATTCTGCTTTTTTCTTTTGTTTGGCTGATTGATTCATCAGATAGCTGATATGATAATCGTAATACTGAAACGCATTAGGAGATGAAAAATGATTACCCATATTTGTGCAGTTGTAGAGAGAATTTTGATGATTTAACTACAGTGAAATATAGTGTAAATCATTTCCATTGTTGCCATGTTTGTTTTATTTCATTTAATTTGTCATTTCTCATGCATTTTGAGTACTTTTTTAAGTACAGTAAATTGCAAGTGTTTTCAAGTACAATACTTGCAAGTTTTGTTTGAAATTTCTTGTATCAATAGAGCCAGTATCACAACGGCATAGCAGTAATGTTTTACTTTAGAAGTAGGAAGAAAATATGGGGAAATGAGGCAGGTCAAATGGAAGTTTATCGAAGGCTTCATTCTGACGATGTCTTTTTTAGATGCTTAAAATAACAAATCCTGGCTTATGGCCAAAGACATCCCGGCGTCATCATTTATTTCAGGCCAAAAGTATTACCTTGTCTTCTTATACTTTCTTTCTTTCTTGTTAGAAGAGAACGATAAATTCGATATTATTTGCGAAGATAAACGAAGAGAAACAACAGAGGAGATGAAAGAAAATCGTAATGTCTTCAAATGTAAATGTTGTAAACCCTTTTGGCGCAGAAATAACTGTTGTGGTCATCTTGTCAATTATCACTTTGGCTTTTCGTTATTTTTGATCTTTGTAGTAGTTAGTGTGACTAGTTACTGTGATTTATCATTAACAACTTTTCTTGAATTCTCATTTCCAATGAAAATGAGAAGAAAATATAACGGTACCTGAATTCGTTTGAGCGCAAACAAAGGGAATTGAGCCACTTCTAAACTTCAATAAACAATTACGCTTACAGCTTCACGTGATAGAAGGTTGTTTATTCCTAATAAAAAAGCAGAACTTTGCTACCTAATTAGTATGTTGTATTGAACACATCAAATACTGTGAAATATTAGACATTCACTAGAAGAACGTCTGAAGGTTAAAAGAAAAAATTGTTGATAACAAGTCTAAACATCAGAAAAATGATGAGTTTAAATTTTCAGAACCTTCCCTGGGCCTAACATTATTGACATGATCATTCCAGAACAGTTCATGAAGAAACAAAAACTTTTATTACACTGTTCGAATGTCAACTCCGATTGATGGAAAACTATTGATCGAAGACCGAAGCTATATTCTCATTTTTTTGCTTTGATCATGATAAAATGTGCGAACATTTCGCTTTTATTTCCACTTCTATAAAGAGGTAAATCCGAAGATGAAAGCTACAAGATAAATTGAGCATCGAACTTGTTTTATAATCAGATCTAGAAGAGTTCCGCTGGATTCAAATAACTCTAGAAATATTCCTTCTGTTTTTCTACTCCATGTTACGAAAGATGCTAAATATAGTAATGTCCCTAATAAGAATGTTCTATTTGGATCATCTCCTACTTATAAAAAGAGATGCACCGATATTTTTTGATCAGGGGACAATCATTTTTGGACAGAAACGGTAACATTTCCTGGAATTCTGGCGCATATGTCGTAAAAAGTTCACTTACCATGATGAAAAAGATGCTGCATTTTTACCTCTTTCAAACTGCTACAACTTCGGGAATTACTCTATACCAATCTCGTTCACATTTGAGGATTCCACCTATTTTTCCTTCTTTTTTCTGACCTTTTCCTTCTAGCCAGTCTTTGCAGCAAAGAATCATACAAAACACAAAAAGGAAAGATGATGATTTCATGACTTAGGCAGCAAAAAGAGTGAAGTTTGATTTTGCTCTGTGAATACTTATCACAGGAACTAGCAAAATGAATTGCATGAAAACAACTTTATCAATCCTTAAGGAAGACTGAAATTGGAATGGATGAAATTCAAGTAGGGCTGTCAGCAGTAGAATGAATGGACTGAAGACGCATGAGTTGAAGATATGAAGAGCTACCTAAAAAGTGTAGAAAATGAATGGTTTGGAATCCAAGTGTTTCAAAGCTTTACTCCTTCTGAAGACGAATCAATAAAGGTTGCAATCAAAAAACTTCAAAATATTTAGATTCAATTATAAATTTCTTCTATACTACGTCATTCGTCACGACAACCGGAGCCTCATTAGCTCAGTGGCAGAGCGTCTGTCTCGTAAACAGAAGGTCGCTGGTTCGATCCTAGCATGAGGCAATGTGGTGCTTCTCTTTGCAAAATTCTGTGACCAGAGCAACAACAGATCAGACGCATTGGCGGCTACCTATCGTCATCCTTTCTGGACGATATTGCGCCGACCTTCACTTTAACGAAATTTGATCTCAACACGTATTTTCTGTCCTTCAGGAATTTTTTTTGCTTAGAAATTACTGAGTTTCGATTATTGAGTTTTCTTGGAAACTATTTGCGGGTATAATTCATACGGGAACAATATAAATGGCGTATAGCTGAAGATGTTTTCCATCGAGTAGGCAAGGGAATTTCAAATATGAACATGGATTTCACAGCAGAGATCTATAACGAAGAGTTGATAATGACTGGACATTTGTGCTTGGAAATCGCGAACAAATTTCTCAATCAATGGGATTGCCATCACTGAATTGATCAGTAGATACTGCTATCGCATTCGATATAGTCGGTGAACAAAATTACAACACGTTAGATCTTTTGTCGTATGTGCAAGCAAATATTCCTTAGCTAACACTTGAGCAAAAAGATATTTACGAGCTAATAATGCGAACTGTCAATAATGCAATTGGAGAAATCTTCTTGGATGCGCCAGGAGGAACTGCTAAAATATTCCTAATTAGATTGATTCTGGCAACAATTCAATTTCAAAATGACATAGCCCTATCTTCTGCATCCTCCGGAATAGCTCGACATTGCTACCAGTTGGAAGAACTGCCCATTTCGCTTTGAAATTGAAATTACCATTGAACATACAATTCATTAAAACTACCACGTACAACATTCCCAAAGCATTCGGCATGGGAAAAGTATTGCAGAAATGCGAACTTATTGTTTGGAATGAACGCACAACGAAGCGCAAAAAATCGATCAAGGGTCTTATCAATCATTGCAAGATTTGCAGAGAAACACCAAACCATTTGGGCAAACAATTAATGCTGTTTGCAGGGGATTTCAGGCAAACATTACTTGTATCGACATTAGTGGACGAAATAAATGCTTGCTACTTGTGGCGACATGTTGTGACGACATGTTAAAATTAACATAAATAAAGGCGATAAAATTAATTACAAATATGTGTTCAACTGCAAAATGACTGATCAGCTGAAATACTCTCACCAATTGCTGGAAATTGGGAAGGGAAAGGTGCCGGTTGTTGATCCGACCTCAGGAAGAATTTCATTGCCTCATAACTTCTGCAATTTAGTAACGTCAAAAGAATTAGTTGAGAAAGTATTCCCCAACATTCAAACCTTATAAGAATCACGATTAGCTGAGCAAACGAGCTATTCTTATGGCCAAGAACAAAGACATTTACGAACTTAATATTATTTAGTCTGACATTCAAACCGAGGCAATCATACACAAGTCTGTCAACACTGTTGTGGAAATAGATGAAGCGATTAATTATCCAACAGGATTTTTGAATTCACCCAATCTGCCAGGTATGCCACCGCACGTACTGCAATTGGAAATCGGCATGCCAATTATCATGTTAAAATACATCAACTAGCCAAAGGATTGCAACGGACGCGGTTTGCAATAAAAAAATTGTAGACCTTTTAAAGGTGAAGATAGCCTCATGCCTCGTATTCCTATAGTGCCATTTCAATTTAAGAGATTGTAATTCACAATTCGATTACGTTTGCATTCACCATCAAGAAAGCTCAGAGCCAATCTTTAGAATTCTACGGTCACATCTAAACATGAATTGCTTCTCACATGGACAATTATATGTTGCGTGTTCTAGAGCTGGCAAACCAGACACAATAAATATTGAAGGATAACAAACGGTCTTCTCGTTTGCGCTATTGAACTGTTGTTTTGTTGTTTCTCTGCCGTTGAACCATGGTCGAAATTGAATGCCTGACTATATGCCGTCATGAGTGCTTGCGTGAGCTTCCCGACTGATTATTGAGCGAGGTGTGGGATTGCGTAGTTGCGAAAGCTATCGAATGCGGGAGTTACAGGAGCTGTCAGATTGACTGTTCTAGCTTTTCGACTTGGTAACTGACCACCAGGATGACTAACCCTACCTCCTTATATAGTGAGATTGGTCTAACATTCCAAACACATTGGCTTAACTACCAGACTAGAAGTTCTCTACAATGTTTCAACATCTGCACATAAGTTCTTTGCCCAATTCCGACAAAAGCTTGATTAATAGATTGGGAAAAGTTTACAATAGAGAGAGAGAGAGAGGAGGAGAGAGAGAGGAGGGAGAGAGAGAGAGTCTTATCGT